CTTTCATTAAAGACTCCCTCCCCTAGCTTGCTAGACCACCCTCCATAACCCCATCATCATTCCTGGTGACTTCAATATCCACGTGGACAATTCCATCTTATGCCCTGGGTTAGATTGCACAAGTGTGATTATGAAAATACTGAAATATTTTCATAGTCACTGGTGCCTCCAGAACCAGCACTACAGGCTACACCCATTTTGATGGATCCATCTCCAGCTAGTACTGGTAAATACTAATCCTGCTGACACCCTACCCTCTAAGCTCCTTGACTTTCTCTTACCTGAAATGACCTTGTCCACCATCTTGGCCACTCATTCTCACCGTCATACCCTATACCTAGTTATTACCAACAACTGCAACCCCTCCCTATCTCCAATTCAAGCACCCCACTCTGTGACCTACACCTTTCAGCTCATTCCATTCCAACCAATTTGTCTACCTCATCAAAACTCTGGAATAAAATTGATCTTTCATCCTATCTTTGCAGTGTCCATCACCCTACCAAACTCCTCTTTTTACTCATTATGCAGCTTCAATTCTTAGGTCTTATAATTTATTGAATTCTTACTATGTATTTATTGTTTACCTACATCATCCCATCCTTCACGACAACCCCACCAAGTAGGTATAATGGCTTTCATTTTATTGATTAGGAAACAGGTTTATATACATAAATCTGCCCAAGATTATATAAAGGGGAGGTTCTATAATTTAAATGTCTATTTCCTTAACCATAAACTAGTAATAAAGATAATTTATCTCTGTGAGTCATGAAGATCACATATACAAGAAGCACTTTGTAAATTGTAAAGTGCTGTCCAAATGTTAGTTACAATTATTAATTACTGACAAGGGGGCCCTTACCCTTTCCATAGGAGTCCTAATTTGAAACTTCCCTCAACCTTTCTCTTTCCTTTCTTCTTTTCCTATGTAGGGCATAGAGGAAGTAAACAACACTAACCTGTTCACAGAAAATTCATCTCTGACATCAAGCTTTAAAACTTTGAATGAAAGGAAAGCAGTGTCATAAATGGTGGTTAGATTCTAGTTAGCAATGGAAGGTATGGTTTCATTATGGTTGAATAGGCTTTTATAAGCCAAGCTGTTAATTCATTACAGTCAACTGATAAAGGAACTTATAACACAATCCTAACTGGTGAACACCTGCATTGCACTTTCTTGTTCAAACCACAGCAGAACGGGAGTTCAGAAATGAAGTCAAGGTTGATAGACAAGAGACTGAGTCTCTTAAGGTCTTCCAAAGTCCTATAAAGAACTTGAAACCTTAAATGTCTGGGAATTCTCCCTGAGCCTCAGAAAGAACACTGCTGTATCCTAAAGAACTCTGTATTCCATACACTGGAATCTGGCTATGGGCTCAACTCATCCCATTCTGTTGTTCTGAACTCTATCAATAGGGCAGCCCCAGACCACCAAGTCTCCTTAGAATGACATAATTAGACCCATTAGGTATATCACTTCCTTATAACACTAAGTATAAAGACTCCCTATTACTTGACATGGCAAATAAAAAACCCACTATTCTAATCTTTCTATCAATTTCCCCATTTCATTTCTCCTCTACTCTAGATAGACACCCCCACATCTGTGTTCTTCATCCCACAGCACGTGACAGCCTATCCATTTCTGCCTTCTGACTCTATCCAGGCTGTTCTTTCTACATTTTGCCACCAAAACTGATCTTGAAACTTTTCCACCTGGAAGTTTTAGATGGAATTTTCTACCTGCTGCTCACTGCATATTTAATTACTCTATCTTGTAACATTATGTAGGAGTTTGGATTTGTCCATATATTACTGTGAAAGGTAAGGTACTACTCTGGTGCCAGGTTTTAAGTCTAAGGCCAGAGCTCAAGTCCTAATTTTGCCTTTTGGTTCACTTAATACCCTTGAACCATGCTGAGATAATATCTACACTTCACAGTTTGTTGACTGATAGGTAAAGAGGTGGCACATCAAAGCATAAATCAGAGGTATTTTACGTTTTTTCCCTGTGATGTTTAAGGCAAGGTTCTGACATAAAGCACATGTTTACTAAATATTAATGCCCCACTATCATGCCATTAGGCCAAAGACTATTTTGCCTCCCTTCACCCTCCCCCTACCTTTTTTTTTTTTTTTTTTTTAGGGATACGATCTTACACTGGTTTGTTTCCCAAAGAAGAAGAGAGGAGAGTCTGGGCTGCCTCTCCCATCTATCTGTCTGCCAGCTTTCCCCAAATATCCCTTTTAAGTAAAGTCAGGTTTAGGTGCTTGGTTAAGTTCAATTTAACATTGTGTGGCAGAGGCAATGTAAGTGTTCATTAAAACCCCATTTCCTTTTCTACCAGGTACGAGCATTTTACTTCCCAGCCACCCCTGCAGTTAGGTGGGACAATGTGACTGCACACCTGAATTCAGACTAAGGGAATGGGGTGAAAATAATGAACTCCACTTCTAGGGCTGGCCCCTGTGGTGTCTCTAACAAGTCCACCACGGCTCTCCTCCCTTATCTGAGGCACATAGATTGGATGATTCCAAGGCAACCAGTGATGGTGGAGTCACATGATAAAAGCCATGTCCTTCCATGATTGCAAGGGACAGCCCACCACTGGCCCCAGTTAACCCACTATACACTGACTTGTATGAAACATAAGCCTTTATTGTGTTAAAACGCTGAGATACTGGTTTCATCAGCCTACCCTGGTTAACACACCTTGTATTTATCAACAGTGGTAACATAAATGAAAAGAACCCCTAGACTTAGTTCCAGGACCTGAGATAGAAATCCTGGCTGTACCACTCCCCCCACATATCCTATGATTGGTTCTAGAATATGCTCTATACCCTTTCCCAATTACATGTCTAGCACATTCTCTTCTTTCTCATTATGAAGCCCTTTCCACTCTCCTCTGCCTCAAGACTTCTGTGAGGCATTCTCTGACTTCCCTCCCATACATATGTATTTCTTTGTTCCTAGTGCAGAGTATATTCCTCCATTTTAGCATCTCTTACATTTGATTGCAAATATTTGTTGACTTGAGTTTCCAAAGACTGAGTCCTTGAATCCACAGTTAATTCCTTTGGGATCTCTGACTGCCAGCATTTAGTTACAGCGCCTGGCAAAAAAAATAAATTTTTATTAAAGGAATGATTGCCACCTATGACCTTAAGTGAGTCACTTATTTTTTAAGTCTATAAAATTTTATAGAATTGTTGTGATAATGAAATAATGTGATTTGTAGATTATAAACAGATTCTAATGGTATCATGGTTTATTCTGTTTTGTAGTCCCTTCTCATCTTTTTCAGTCAAATTTATCTTAATGCTTCATTCCAGGTAGTTCTGTCAATAGAAAAATAACGGAGGCAACATATATAATTTAATAATTTCAGTAGCCATATTTAAAAAGTGAAAAGAAGTAGGTGGAATTAGTTTTAATAATGTATTTAACCCTATATATGCCAAATACTGCTTGTTAGCTCTTCGACATTTTGTTAATTCATCTACATCTGGTGTGTGTGTTACAACACAACTCTGTTTGGACTAGCCACCCCGCGAGCACTCAGCAGCCACATGGGGCTAGTGGCTCCCGCAAACCGGACAATGCGGCTACAAGGCCTACTTCAGACAGCGCAGTCTCGGTGAAGTCAACCTGACTGTCCCTCAAGCGGAGCGAGTGACTCCTCCTCAGCGCTCTCTCAAGCCCCCTATCCTTGCTGTCTTGAAACCTAGAAGTCAGTCAAGCTCTTCGAGGAATTCCGGACTGTTGCCTGAGAATTCGCTCTCACAGCGATTGTCTGGCATATAACGCGCGGTTATTAAATGTCGGAGTAATTAATGATCCCGTGTGCAGAGAACCCCGTGGGAGGCCGAGGGGCCGGAACCGAAAATGGTCAGTCAGGGAGCGGGCGCGGGCGGGCGGCCACCGTAGGCGGGATCCCGACGCCTGGGCCCGCGGCGTGCTCAGGCGGGCGGGCGCCGAGATCCGGGACTCGGCAGGCCCGGGCGCGGGGGGCGTGGGGGCCACGGCCTGCCCACCCCCTCACCCCCACACCCCCTCCCCCACGCCGCCGCCGCCGCCGCCGCCGCTGCCGCCGAGCCCCGGAAGCGGGCGGGGATTTCCTGTGTCCGCCCCGCCCGCGCCCGCGCCCGCCCGGCCGCCGTCTCCGCCCGTCGCTGGCTCCGCGGCCGCCGGCTCCGACGAAGCGCAGGGCGGAGGGGAGGGGCAGGCGGCGCCCAGGAGGGAGGCTCGGGCCGCAGGCCAAGCCGACCAGGGTGAGTGGGGCCGGGCCGCAGGGAGTCGCGGCTGGAGGGAGGGACGCCAGGCTTCCCGGGGCGGCGGGTGGGGGCCCAGTCACCCATGGGGCGGGGAGGAGGATCGACGCGGCCTCCGGGTCGCTGCCTTCACCGGGGGGTCGGCCCCACTGACATTCTGCGCCCGCCCCTCGCCCTGGCTTCCCCGTCTCCGGCGTCGCTGTCAGGCCCCGCGGGTTCCCGCCGCTGTCACTCGCGCACAGGTTACCCCGTGGCTCCTTTCTCTTGACTTGCTCTTGCCCCGGTTAAGGGGAAACCTGTTTTCTGACCTCACTTCCCCTGCCCCAGCTCTGCCTCTCGGATTCTCTGAAATCTGACCCTCTCCAGGGGCACTGTGACAAGAAGGAGGGGAGAAGCAACCTTACTTAGGAGCAGGCTCCCGTCCCGCCCCTGCCCCACCCGGGGCAGAGGGCAGGGTTCTCTGACAGAGAGCGACTCGTCCCTGTGCCCTTGGGCTGCTGCTTTCCTTACACCCTCTTTTCCCTGTGCAACCGCGCGCGCTGCAAAAACTTCCTTCAGCAGGTGCCCTGACCCTCGGATATGTGAGGAAAAGTGGGAAATGGAAGCCCTAGAACCCAGGCTCCAGTAGGCCTGGGAACATCCTGGAGCCAGGAGAAACCTGGTTAGGGCTGACACCCTTAACTGCCCAGGTGCTGGCTCTGAGAGAGTGAACATCGGAGGAAATGCAGTGTGAGGATAAGTACCCACCCCCTTGTTGCTGAGATATTCAGCACTTCCAGAGGTTTTCTGTCAGTGGTCTGGAGAGGCTCACCGCTAGCCCAGTAGGCTCTGCAGAAAGAGGCTTCCCATCAAGGCACTGTGCTGGGGAGATGGAGAAATGAGTTTGAGACAGGTGTCCAGGTATTTGTAGGTAAACACTGAGGGAGGATGTTCAAAGGGAGCTTGAGAAACAAAGAAGACCTCCAGTGAGGAGAGGGAATTGGTGCCTTATATGTTAAAAATAAGGCAAATACAGGGGCTGGAATTCAGAAGAGAGAGTTAAAATGGAAGTTTCCCTTTATTGCTTTATTGGGAATTTTCCTTTCTCATGAGAAGTCTCTGAAAAGGAAACCTCCCAAGCTGGGAATCAGTCCAGGATGTTCCCATGAGGCCCTGAGACTTCTTTGGACTTCTGAGATGAAAGGGTAATTAGTTGCCTTCCTGTGCATTGGTTTTAGGGTTGCCACCTACCTCTTTTGTCAAAGACAGATAGGCAAGAAAATAAACAACTTGACATCTGTCATTACCTGTCCTGGGCTTCTGGGTTCCTGCAAATGTTACTGAATAGATATGAGTGAGCCAGGATAGTTAACCAAGGTTCTGACCTGTTTTTGGAAGCCTTTCACTGGCTCTGACTGCTTGAGTACTGAATAATAATCACACACACACACAAAAAATGTTGCCAAGCAAAAAGGACTCTGTGCAGTCTCATAGACTGTTTCTCTGCCAGAAGTCAGGGAAGCCCTTGTCACAACACCTGAGACCTGTTCTGACTCCTAAGATGTCCAGAGAAAAGAAAAGCCCACAACCTGCTCCTGTGCACTACAGGATTATTGTTAAGAATTTTTGCCTGGGTGGCTCAGTTGGTTAAGTGTCTGCCTTGGACTCAAGTCATGATCCCAGGGTCCTGGGATCGAGCCCCTGCTCAGCTTCTCCCTCTGCCCCTCCCCCTGCTTGTGCGCACTCTCTCTCTCTTTCTCTCTCTCTCTCTAAAATAAAAATCTGTAAAAAAAAAAAAAAAGAAAGAAAGAAAGAATATCTTTATCTAACCTAAATCTCTTCTCTTGCAATCAACAGAATAGATCTATACAGAGATATAAACCATTTCTCTTTCTTAGTAGCATCATTCATCAGCTTTTTTTCCCTAGACAGGAGAAAGCTATGTCTATTGTTTTTAACTTTTCCCAATGGCCATATTTCCCATCCCTTTCTCCACTTTTGTTTCTTCTGATGAAACATATTCTGGCTTCTTCATACCCTTCTTTAAAACTGAATATATTTTTCTAATGAGATCTGACTGGTTCTTTCTTATGTCTCAGGTTCTTTCCTGTGTCTCAACTCACAGGGTTGTTAATTCACCCACTGAGGTCATGTTAGCATCAACTATTTCCCCTTTATCCACTCTGGTTCAAACTCTTTGTGTTCTTTTTTTCAATTAGAATCAATTCCTCACTGACCAATTTCTCCTGTCTGTTATGGTTGTTTTGGATTTTTATACCTGCTTTCTAAGTTATTGGTCTTTCACCACATTTACTACCAGTTCTCATTTTCTGCATCAGATTCTCATTTTCTGCCTCAGAGTGACAGGTTATGTCTCTTTGTTGAGGCTTAAGTGAAGTGTCATTTGGTTCAGTCTTATAAAGGAGGGGTGTGCTCCTTACACACACACACACACACACACACCTTTGGCTGGGTCTTCTACCTATAGTAATCATTTCATTCTGAACTAATTGATAAGAATGGGATTTGTGGCAGAAAATCTTATATGTGATTATATCCATTTTTGTTGAGTGTAAGTCAGTGCACATCCCATCCTACATGTGTCCAGATTGCTTACTTCATTGTATTTGTTGAAATTAAATGAATAGCTTTTGAATTTCCAGGATTGTTTTTGTTTGTTTGCTTGTTTGTTTTAATGAAGTTCTTCCAGCCATCAGGGATATTCTGTTTCTGCAATGAGGTCCCCAAAATAACTGTTAGTGACTTTGCTGTTTAGCACCTGCTCACTTCTGAGTTCCTCCAAGAAGCTTGGCCCAGGCTCAGTTGATTGGAACACACCAAGCTTTTAAAGTTCATCTGCCATCAAGCTTCTCTTACCCAGTTTCATCTTTTTATCCCTGAGGCTGTTCTCCATAACTCCCTTAGGAATATCACCCCTTTCCATTTTTAATGGGCACAGCTGATAATGAATTTGTTCCAGGTCACAATTTGGGTTTGCAGCAAAAATGCTTTCAGAACAGACCGCAGTCCTGGGGACAGGATGGGAGTCAATGAATGTCCAGCTGGATGGAGCAGAGCCTCAGGTGGAAAGGGGAAGCCAAGAAGAGGGGCCATGGAGAACAGCACCAGGGCCACTGGAACACCTATGCTGTGACCTTGAAGAGGAGCCACAGTCCCTTCAGGAGAAGGGTGAGAGCCTAGAGGGTGTATGTGTGTTTGAGTATGGTAACCTGTACCAGGACTAGTCCATTCTTCCTGGCTTCCTGGACCCTGGTCACAGGAATATAAGGAGCCCCTGGATTCTGTAAACCATAAAACTGGGCTTCTCCCATTTCTTGCATGATCACTCTCTCCACAAGCTGCAAGTGCATGGTTAGTGGTATTGAATGTGGGAGACAAAGGAAGTGACAACAACTCCGATTACTGTTGAGAACACACCCAGTAAGATGCACTTTACTAGGTGAAAATTATCTTCAAATAATATAAATTCAAACCACAGCTAGCCTAGTAGAGATGGCTGACGTATAAGCTCTACTAAAAACCACCTAATAGCCTTGCAGAACATTTTGAGTGAATGTCTCTTCCACTATGTGTATGCATTTGAGTTTTACCAATGGGCATAGATATAGGAAAATGTGACCCTTAAGCTCCTCTAACATGGGGCCCAGGCTTTCACTGGGAAAGGGTGGATGGTCCATTTCTAGTGGTTCCTCTTTCTCCTCTCCAGCTCAGTCAGCTCCCTGGGTTCCTGCCATTCCCCAGGAGGGGAGCACCGGAGATTGGGAGATGGCAGCTGCACTTCTTGCGGCAGGATCACAGGTGGGCTATCTGCTTCCCTTGACCTCTCCCAGGGTCTCATCACTGCTGCCTTTCTGTAGCCTCAGCATCAGCCTATTGATTTGTTATCTCACATGATCACTAATGGTATCTTCATCTTATAACTGAACAGATTACCTTTCCACGGGGCTTATAGTACCCTTGAAAAAATGAGTGGAGGCATGACAAGAAGAGGGGAATTCCGAGAGATTAAGTTGTTTCTAATGGATGGCCGTGCCATCCCTAGAGAGATTTTTTTAAGAACAATTTATTAATGTCCTTTAAGAAAAAAATCTGGAAAGATTAGGAAAAGAGGACCTGAAGGAAGCTTGAAAGAACATAAAGTAGGCAGGACTGGGTGGATAATGGAGAATTTATAGAAAAGAAGAGAAGATAGAGAGATGTAAAGAGGGGCAGAGCCAGACAGAGAAAATAGGTTTAGATTCAGAAGGCACTGGGAGACCCAGGGAAAGATAATAATAGTAGTAGTAGCTACACTCTCAGAGTGCTTACCATGCTTGCAATTCTCTGAATGCTTTATGTATATTAACCCATTTAACCCTGAGAGAAACCCAATTAGGCCCATTTTACAGATGAGAAAATAGAGTAGGAAGAGATTAAGGCACTTGTGTAAGGACAAACTGCTAATAAGTGGCAGAGCTAGGAGTCATTTGGCTCAAGAATCTGGGCTCCTAACCACTATACTGTGCTGTCTCAAAAGATAAGGATATGGCATGATGGGCGCAGGGCAAGAAAGAATGTTTTATCTAAATGATTTTGTGCTGATAGAAAAGGAAAGGTCAAGTGGTGGAAGGAGAGGCTAGTACCCAATTTCTGCAATGAAAAGAATAAGGCAAGTGAGAAAGACTGGGCAGACACCTGTAGTTAAACAGAGGGAGCAGTGAGTTCATGGTGCCTCCAACTTCCCATGGTCCCAGTGGGAAACTGCTCAAGAGACATTATCCTCACTCACTCACTGACCATACTTTTGCCCATCTGCTCATTTATCTTCCACCAAAACTATATGCTTTACCCAGGGACCTCTGGGAAGTTCTTTCTCTAGATGCTGTCATGCCCTCTCGTCTACTACTTCAGCCTTTTACATTGGGATCACATTTTCCTTAAGGAACAATTACTGACAGCTGATGCTACATTTTGTTTCAGGGCCTGGTAACCATCAAGGATGTGTCATTGTGCTTCTCTCAGGAGGAGTGGCGGAGCCTGGACCCTTCTCAGACAGACTTTTATGGAGAATATGTCATGCAGGAAAACTGTGGGATAGTGGTCTCTCTAAGTAAGCATGATCTTCCCTAGCCACTTTTAAAAGATTATTATTCTGGGAGGATGGAGCCATCTGCTCCAGAGCTATTGGATAGTGTCTATCTAGGGTTCTTTCCTTGGCTGGAAATCTGTCTTAGCTTTCACCAGAGAAAGAGCATTAGGGCTAATCCAGAGAGAATGGAAATGAGGTGTCATTTCTTAAAAACAACAGCAAAATAATGCTGAATTGTGAAGAGAACTTTAGGCTCTTCTTGGTTGGGAATTGGGAGGTTCTTACAAAGCAGAGAGAAGGACATTTAAGTGATAGAACTGAGTCCTTGGAAACTCAGCAAGCCATCCAGGTAAGATGGGAGTGGGGGTAGGACAGCTATGGTAGGGCTAATTAAGTGAAGTTAAGGACAGTTGGGCTGGAAGTACTTGAAATTTGAGTGGAAGGAAACAGGCATGCTAGGTGAGAGAATATGATTTTCTAAGAGAAAGAAGAGGGACTTAACAGAAATGGGGACGGGAGGGAGGCCTGTATCTGGCCTTCTTTTATCTTCAGTTCCAAGGAGTAATCTAGGAAACAGCTTTTTTTCAGAAATAGAATTACAGTTGAACTCACTGACATCTCTGTTTTCCTTTCCCATGGGCAGGATTTCCAATTCCCAAACTGGACATGCTTTCTCAACTAGAAGGAGGGGAAGAACAATGGGTTCCTGACCCTCAGGACTTGGAGGAGAGGGACATCCTGAGGGTCACATATACAGGTAAGCACCTAGAATAGACTTTCAGCCACTGCTTTCAACCCACTCGGAATGTCATTGTTACATGTCCATCTAATCCTTTGTCTGCTCAGTGAGTTACAGAGTCAAAAAGTTTACAGATCTTTTTCTTCAAAGGCAAGACAGTGTAGCAGAAAGGTTTAGAAGGCAGGCTCTAGAACCAAACTTTGTGGATTTGAATCCAGGCCTACACCTGGGAACTGTGGAAAAGTAACCCCTGTTTGGGTTCCTCATCAGTAAATTATTGTGAGATTTCAATATATTAACAGAGTAGAACAGTACCAGACACATAATAAGCACTCAGTAAATGTTAGTTGTTGTTGTTGTTACTGTTGATGTTATTGTTCAACCTCTCACCCATTGTGGAGATGCTTTCCGGAGTGTCTCTAGTATTGCTGACAGGTGGTCGCTTAGCCAGTAAGGATTGCAGCACATTTCTTTTCTTTTCTTTTCTTTTTTTTTTAAGATTTTATTTATTTATTTGACAGAGAGACAGTGAGAGAGGGTACACAAGCAGGGGGAGTGGGAGAGGGAGAAGCAGACTTCCCGCGGAGCAGGGAGCCCAATGCGGGGCTCGATCCCAGCACCCTGAGATCATGACCCGAGCCGAAGGCAGTCGCTTAACTGACTGAGCCACCCAGACACTCCAGCACATTTCTTAACTGTCTCCATTCTATGCTTAGGCAGGAAGATGGAAGTAATTGTAATAAATAAATAAATAACAACAATAGCATAAACCATTTACTAAGTGCTCACTGTGTGCAGGTATTATAGTACCTATCTTATAACATCTATTTTATAATTATTCCCATTTTACAGAAGAGGAAATGAAGGCTTACAAAAGTTAAGTGGGAAAGCTGAGATTCAAAATTGGGTAATCTGCCTCCTAAGCTTAGGTTGTTAACTTCTACACCTCTTGCACTGTCTTATACAACATTAGAGTCTGTTCTCCCAGCCTTTATGGGGTGAGGTTTAGGCCCTAACAGGAATCAGACAACTTTACGTGTGACTTGGGTCCCGGAGTACTCTCTTGTGACTCCCCTCTTGGGGTTGGTATTTTCCCTTCTCCACAGGAGATGGAAGTGAGCACGAGGGTGATACCCCTGAACTAGAAGCAGAACCTCCCCGAATGTTATCTAGTGTGTCTGAAGATACTGTTCTCTGGAACCCAGAACAGGATGAGAGCTGGGATTCCATGCCCAGGGGCTCCAGAGGAATGCTCCTGGGCCCACCTTTTCTTCAGGAAGATAGCTTCTCAAACCTTCTATGTAGCACAGAGATGGATTCCCTGTTGAGACCACACACATGCCCCCAATGTGGGAAACAGTTTGTGTGGGGCTCCCACCTTGCCAGGCACCAGCAAACACACACTGGGGAGCGGCCCTACAGCTGCCTCAAGTGTGAAAAGAGCTTCGGGCGAAGACACCACCTGATCCGGCACCAGAAAACCCACCTACATGACAAGCCCAGCAGGTGCTCAGAGTGTGGCAAGAATTTCCGATGCAACTCCCATCTGGCCAGCCACCAGAGAGTGCATGCGGAAGGCAAATCCTGCAAGGGCCAAGAGGTTGGAGAGAGCCCAGGGGCTAGGAAACGGCAGCGTGCCCCACCAGTGCCAAAATGCCATGTGTGCACTGAGTGTGGGAAGAGTTTTGGCCGACGGCACCACCTGGTGAGACACTGGCTGACCCATACTGGGGAGAAGCCCTTCCAGTGCCCTCGCTGTGAAAAGAGCTTTGGCCGTAAACATCACCTGGACAGACACCTGCTGACCCACCAGGGACAAAGTCCCCGGAGCAGCTGGGACAGAGGGACAGCTGTCTTTTGAAATCTGTTTCTGCTGCAGCTGTGGTCACATCTATCAGCAGCTGGTGCTACCAGGAGTCTCTGCCAGAACTGCCCCTCTCCTGCACCCCAGTGGCCAGAATCATGAGCCCTGGCTCCATCCCTCGAAAGATGAGGTTCCAACATTGGCCAGACATTTCTCACCGGTTCTGTGAGATACCACATAAAATGGAGTTCTTTGGGCAAAACTTTTAGGAAACAATGCTTACTGCATGGGCTGATATTCAGCCCTAGCCCATTCTCAAGGGTACACTTGAGAATCAGCAGTTTATGGCTGAGGTCCATTCTAAGTGGTTGGAGTCTATGCCATACCAGTTAAAATTTGAGTAACACCTTTGTATACTGTAACTATTATATCCTCTCTGTATATAGAGAGAAAGACCATATTAGCATGTTGAAGGCTCTGAGAACTTATTCATACAGAGAATTGTTAAGCCTCTTTTAATGCAGTGTTTCCTAAATGGATTTGACCTCTGTCCTTTCTATTTCACATCCCACAGAACTGGTGACTCCATGAAACACACTGGTGAACACTGGCTTAGAGAGTAACGAGCAAACGGGAAAGAGATAGTGATCAGGCACCAGAGTCCTTTTTTTATTCAAATGAAAGCTGAGGGGCAGACCTCATTCCTGTGTGGGTCCATCACCCTTTCCCTGATCATCCAAATATACATCCACACCTCTTACCCCCACCTGCTGAAAAATAGAAACAAGAACCTTTTCACCCTCTTATTCCAACTCCCTTCATCCTTCTCATACACATATTCAGATGAGCGATCACGCTACAATGCTAAGAGATGGACTTATACCCACCCAAGGGACCCAAGCCCACACAGAAGAAAAAAATCTTTATCCCCTTGAACAGACCCCTCTCCTCTTGACTGTGTCTTTTTGTGTCTATGTGTATCTGTGTGCAGGGTCTTTGAAGAGAGCATGCAAAGTGCAAACTGTACAAGCTAGATTTTCTAGGAGCTGTTTTCTGGGGATGAGGGTAGTAGGGATTGTATGGGATTTTTTGTTTTGTTTCAAGATAGGAAGTAAGCTGAGCGATTAAGGGAGCCCTCATGGAAAGGGTTAAGTGACGGGTTAAGCTGTGAGAGTTGAGGTGTAAAGCGTTCCCCGGTATTACTGAGATCAAGACAACTGTGGATATATATGTCTAGGTCTAAATCTCTGAGCCACAGATTCTTTTTGCCTGGGAGAAGAGAGAAAGACACATCCTCAGTGAGGTGAGCTGTTTCTTGTCGATTTCAAGTAAGGTGCATATAGCTTTGTGCTGAGTGGGTTTCTTTGTCTTGTTTTAGTGCTGGGAAATTAGGACAGGAATCACAGTGCTTGCAGGTTGTTGTCATCTCTCTTATTTGACCTTGATTGCCTTATCAAGGAGACAGTTTTTCTTGAGGATCTCATTCTCCCAGAAACAGAATTTTAGGGGAAATGGCTATGGTTTAGCTTTTCAGCTGATGGGCGTGGGGGTGTGCATTGGGTTTACTTCCCAATTCTGGGAAGGTAGCCACACTAAGACTCTTTTAACTCCAGGACTTGCATAAGTATTCTAGCATCTGTTGGTTGATGAGTTGGTCATTGTTTTGCTTTATTGATAATGTGTTAATACCAATCTTATAATTTAAAAATTATCTTGTATGTAAGAGCAGTTTGGGGTTAGGAAGAGAGAGGAGCAAAGCAGATGAAAGTGGGATAATTTCTCTTTAATGCTTAGATTCTGGTTTTTCCTTAACACACTTATTTCTCAACCACAATTGGTGGAATTAACCAGAGAGGCAAGAGGAAGTAAGCTGCAACAATCTAGTTTAGTGATTGTCGCATTTGCTTAGGAAAAACTGGGTGAATCACAGCTCCTTAGAATTCTGGACCCAAATGGAGCTGAAAATAGGGTCATTTTGTTGACTGGGCTTCTTAGAGTGGATATGACTTGAGCAACCCAGCCCCCACCTCCGTTCTGCCACTCAGAGCAGCCTTCCTTCTTTGCCTGGAATGCACTTCTCTTGCTTACGTTCCTACAAATAGAGCAAAATGGCCAGCCTTTTGTAAGGTCCTCAGAGACAGGAGCATTTTAGGATTAGAGATGCCCCAGGGTATAAGAGAGTATTGGATTCCAGTGGTAAAACTGGACTGTGCCATTTCTTTTACCCTCTCACTATGCCTCATTCATTAATGCAGATCAGCTCTATGTAAGCAATGGTTCAGAACCTGTTTTAGATCACAGACCCTTATGAGACTCTGATAAAAACCAGAAACACCCTTTTGAGAAAAACAGACATTAGCAGTTCACTTTGTTTTATATACACATTTAGCAGGTTCAGAGCCTATCCATGGAATAACTAAACTGGGGTCATTGGGAGTTACCCTGACCCAATATGATCATTTATATATTTGTGTCAAAAGTTACAAGGCAAGGATCACTAAATATTTTAAGGACTAAGATATCAGAGGCAGTAGGGTATAAAGACAGAGTCTAGTCTTTAATGACTAGAAGAGTATTGCTGATATTCTACTCTATGTTTTTTTTTTTTTTAAAGATGACAAGCTGACAAATGGAGCTCCTCACAAACCTTATTTTAAAGACTTGTGGGAGGTGACTGTCTGTACTATCAGATCACACATCTTAATAACCAAATGTTAACCTCCAGCAGTTGATCTGTTTTAGTAATTGTAAGGATAGCAAGTAAAGCCCCCAAAGTGTGGGTGCAGTCATAGCACCCAAATGAAAGGCATGATGGAGTCTAAAAGCTTTCTACGGAAAGGACATCCCTTTAGGTCATTTCTGGTATACCACTGTCTTCTCTACCTCGGTCCAATACCACTTCCCTTGGACAAAAAAATAAAGTAAGCAGCAGCCATCAGATGGGTGAATAGATTTGAATGATTTTTCCCACAGGGAATTTCCCATCTTTCTCCTAACTGGCTTTGCCACATGTCCACCCTACCCCCTTTAAATAAAAAAAAACCTGTCTCTGTGTTCTCTCTGGGCAAATGTAAAATGGGGACGTCCATCTTCAGGAACCTGTCACCTTTTCCTTCTGTGGTGCCTCTACCCTGTTCAGGTCCCAAATACCTCCCCTTTGTCCCCCCATCAAAGTATGTCTGCAAAGAATCCCTTCAAAGTGTTAGCTTTTCCCAGAGTTATTTACATTTTTTTTATTATGTTATGTTTAGTCACCAGAGTTATTTACATTTTAAGCCTTAACACTGATGTAGAAGTGGAAGGCAAAAGTTTTCCCTTGTCAAAGTGATGTTATACCTTCAGGGAGCTAAAGGTGTGATAATTTGTGACAAAATCCTTTCCTTTCCTGTACTCCTGCACTCAAACTACTGTTTCCTTATTTCCATCAAGGGCAAGGTGAGTCCTGACTCAGAACCAGAGATGCCAGGAGACATGTTCTTTACATCTCTGTTCAGATGAGTGCACTGGATGGGGATGAGGGGTGCTGGACAGTAATAGAAAGGTGAAGTCTATTCCCTTAGACCCCTTAGAAATCCTGAGCTGGCAAAATTTCCTTCTATTCCCTGGAGTGCTATATTAGGTCTTGGGTCTCAAAATGTGGTCTCTGAACCAGCAACATCGACATCACCTGGAAACTTGTTTTAGAAATGCAAATTCTCAGGCCCCACCCCAGACAAACTGAATCAGAAACTCTGAGAGCAGAGCCCAGCAATCAGTCTTCACTTGCCTTCCAGAATATCTGATGTATGTTAAAGTTTGAGAATTACTGGCCAGGAGATTCAAATTCCACTTCAATCAGTGGTACCTCACCCTCTTCAAATAGGGAGAAAGGGGAATCTTGTCAAATTTATTTTCTGCAACCCCTCAAGGCTAGTTTGTCCTCAGTTCTGGTTTCATTGAGTCCCCACCCTTAAATCAGTGACAGGACTGGGTTAGTCAACAATTTTAGAAACTGGTGGGGCCACTACCAAACTGTTGTGACTGATTGGGGCTAGAGCTTCTACAGTGGACACTGAAGATTCATGGGTCCAGAAATCTGAAAGGACAAAAAGGAGCAGGCACCTCAAAGAAGGGAAATCCAATGTAAAACTGAAAAACCAACATCCAAGGAAATGGTCTTCCTTTGCTAGTTACCTCGTCCTTCTCCTGGCCTAATAAGGTGGCCTGGAGGCATTCAAGGTGAACATTTAGCTCAGGATAGAGAGTAAGGCCAGCTCTCACGAACCCTTAAGGAACCAAGTTTTCCAACCTCACAATTGCATTGGAGATCAATGAGGTACCATGCAAGGGATTCCTAACCATGATTTGCCTACCCTATGGGCAAGGGCAACAGAAGCATTGGAGAGCCCCCAGGACACAAGAAAGAACCAAGCTCATTTAGTAATATGTGACACAAGCGAGATTTGAACCCAGACTCTGTTTACCACGTAGAGTTGTAATCAATCAAGCCATGGCACCTATGTCAAAAATACATTTCCTGCTTTGAAGATTCTGTCCAATTCAGACTGCAGGAAGGGACCTGTCTGGCAGGCCCTGGTCCCATTACCTCCTCTAGCTCCTCTCCTAACCAAACTCATGAGGACAGACTGAACTGACCGTTGCAAACCCACCACCCCTGTGGGGCTCTCCCAAGATCAAAAGGTTGGAGTTTGGGGGGAGGTGATCAGCCCCTCTCCCCAAGATGGAGAAACTTGGCTATAGTTTTCTTCAACTTCAGGCCTCAGGGAGGAGTCCCTGCCTCCATTTTCCCAATAAATGGAGCTCCTTCTCCACTCTTCACTCCCACTTCTCTTTTTCTGTTAGTTTGGTTTGGTTTGGTTTTTTTGTTTTACCTGGGGAATGCCTCACCTTCCCAAGGGTATTTGTTCTTCTAGTCCCTATCCTTCTCTTTCCATCATAGTTAATTCTCTTCAAGCTTCTAGCCAATTCCATTCCATTAAGAGCCCTCTGTCCCTCTGCCTGTTGTCCAGTTTGTCAGCTTTAAGCCTACGAAGCAGGGTCAATTACTCATACTTCCCACTTTCTTCCCTCAAATCCTTGGCTTGGCTCTAGCAACTCAGCTGCCATCTCACCACTCTGCATCTCTTCCTGTCTCTCTCACCCTTCCTCACACACCCTAACCTGGCCAACAGGTTGTCTATACTGCCAAGTCCAGGCCCTGCACTCCATTCCCTGCAGGCTCTTTTTTCCCTTGATGTAGCTTCCAAAGTGGATTTCTACTTTTTGCTACTTTGATTTGCGTAGTCCCTTCCTGTCTCTTGTGGTTTCTGAGAATCAGTTTCAATTCTAAAGCCATTTTTGGCCAGCTCACTATGTGCCAGGCACTGCTATCCCAGACCTGGGAGGTCAAGTGTTAACACAGGCCCTGTACTCAGCATGTTCCTCAGCCGAGCCCTTCCCTGGCACCACTTTCCTGCCATGCCTCACAATACTG